CCAAAGGTGAGAGTTTTTATTTCTTAACACTGAGATGCAATCCATATAGAAAACTGCAGTGTTAATCTGCATCAAATGTCTCAAGTCCGCTTCACTTTCAGCAAGTAAGGTTGTGTCATCTGCATAACATAAGTTGTTGATGAGTCTTCCTCCAATTCTGTTGCCAAATTTTCTGAACCCATCTTCTGGAATAACTGTTCAGCATACAGATTAAATAGATACGGAGAAAGGATACAACCCTGATGCATATTTTTCTTAATTTTAAACCATGGAGTGTTTCTTTGCTCTTGTTTGCACAAATTTCTTGGTCTAGGTTTCCCATAAGCACAAGTAAATCTTCTGGCCGGGATTCCCATTCTTCTCCAGATTAACCATAATTTGTTATGATCTACAGCCAGATACTTTTGTATAGTCAATAAAGCACAAATAGTCATGCTTCTGGTACTCTTTTGTTTCAGCCAGGTTCCATCTGACATCGCAGTGATATCCTTGGTGCCATTTCCTCTTCTAAATCCAGCTTGAACTTGTAGTTCTCTGTCTTTGTACTGTTCTAGCTGTCTTTGAGTGATCTTGAGCAATATTTTGCTTGCATGTGGTATTAATGATATTGTTCAATAATTTCCACATTCTGTTGAATCATCTTTCTTGGGAATGGAAATGAATGTGGATGTCTTCTAATTGGTCAGCCAGGCAACTGTCATGGCATACACTAGTGAACACATCCAGGGCTGCATCTGTCATTTGAAAAAACTCAATTGATACCCCCTCTATTCCTGAGGCGGCTTTTTTTCTTGCCAGTGCCTTCACTGTGGGTTGAACTTCATTCTTCCTCACCATTGGTTCTTGATCATATGATATTTCCTAAAATTTTTTTTTTGTGGAGACAAGCTGTCTTTATTGCTGGGGCGGCTGGTGCTCAGGAGCTCTTGGTGGGGCGGGTTCGCTTCCTCTTCACCATCACGGGCTTCTTCTGGCTGCAGTAGGATGGCGCTGGCCCTGCGGATGGCGGCCACGCGCAGGTCGGGCCGGCACTTGTTTTTGCAGATCATGTAGCGGATGCTGCCCAGCGTGGCCCGGGCGTTCTTGTGGATGGTGGTCTGCACGTAGGAGGAGGTGGCCGGCTTCCTCTGGCCTGACCTCCGCTTCACCACCACGAACCCTTGTTGTCGGGGCCGGCTCCACGCCCACGGTCTTGCGGTGGATCAGCCCATTGTAGCGGAAGGAGTTGCGGGCTTTGAGGTTTTTGGGCTCGGTTCTGTAAGTCTGCTTTTAATCAAGAAGCTGGAGCAGTTACGCACGACCATCCATTGCAGATGGGCAGACATGGCTGCAGCTCCTAACGCAGCGACTGCCGGTGGCGGAAAGAGACATCTTTTTTTTTTTTTTTTGGTTAAAATATTTAAGTGTTGACCAGTTCCTTCTGTTATAGTGATTCTGTATTCTCTCCATCATCTTTTCCTGGTTCCTGGATCATTCAAGATTTTGCCCATAGTATCTCATAAGTACTATATAGTTCGAGGCCTGAATTTGTTTTTCAGTCCTTTCAGCTTGAGAAATGGCAAAGGCATTCTTCCCCTTTTGTTCTCCAGTTCTAGGTCTCTGCATATTCTTTTACAACAGTTTGCTTTGTCTTCTTGAGGTTCAATACCCTTCCTTTTGTTTTTGCTTCTTACCATTCCACTGCAATTTTCAGGGTCTCTTTTGACATCCATTTTGGTTTGTTTTTCCTCCCCTGTCTTTGTAATGACCTTTGATGTCGTCCCACAATTCATCAGGTCGTCGATCACTGGTGTTGGATGGTTCAAACCTATTCTTAACATAATTTTTAAATTCAGGTAAGATAGATTAAAGATTATATTTTGGTTCTCATGGACTTGTTTTAATTTTAATTTTCTTTAGCCTCACTGGAACTTGAACATGAGTAATTGATGGTCTTTGCCACAGTCAGCACCTGGCCTGGGTATTGATTGCTGATATTGAGCTTTTCAACAATTCTTCCCACAGATGTAGTCAGTCTGATTCCTGTGCAGTCCATATGGGAATTACATGTGTAAATTTGGCTTTTGGGGTTTTTCCCATTTGTGGTTTTTAAAAACGGTATCTATGATGAATAAATCATTGACTGTACAAAATTTAATTGTTCTGTTTCTGGTCTCGTTCCTGTCACCAAATCTATACTTTCTGACTGTTCTTTCTTCCGTGTTTCCAACATTCCAGTCATTTCCAAGATCATTGACAAACCTTGATTGGCTATCTGGTCAATTTCAGAATGAAAACTTTATAAAAATCTTCATTTTCCTTCTCTTTGGTTTTAGCTGTTGGTGCATATATTTGAATAATAGTCATGATAACAGGTGTTCCTTGTATGCATATGGATAATGTCCTATCACTCATAACACTGAACCTTCAGGATAGAACTTGAATTTGTCTTTATAACTATGAAAGCAACTCCTTTCTTCCTCTGTTGTATTTTAGCTGCCTTCCACCATAAGGTAGACAGTGTTTTGTAGTTTGAATAATATATATATATACACACACACACACACACACACACACACACACACTCACATACATATGTGTGTATATATATAGTTTATGTTTACATGTAATTCATATTGTTTGTATAATTTAGTTTGTCAGTTTTCCCCTATATTATACACATGAATACATGTATGTAACGTCTCTTCCTCTAGAGGGACATTATTTCTTGTTATGTACCATTGAGTTGCTTGCAACTCATAGCGGCCCTGTGTACAACAGCTCTGGACCCTGCTCTATCCTGTGCCAACCTTACTGTCTCTAACACACCTACCACCATTAACCCAGTCACGGAATTAATCCATATCATAAAGGGGCTTCCTCTCTTGTGCTGTCCCTCCACCCTCCCAAGCATGACATCCCTTTCCAAAGACTGGTCACTCCTTGCAGCATGTCCAGAATATGTCAGACGAAGCCCCATAATACTGTTATTACATACATGTGTTCTGGAGGGACATAATTCAATCCATGACACTCTACTCTTTGGCCCTCTAAAGTTCATGTCTTTGCCAAAAGCAAAACACTTTAACCCCATCATGTCATTTTAGAAATGTTAAACTTGAAGTTCCACTTCTGTACTAAATCACAATTATTTTTCTTTTGTGATTCTAGAATCCAAGTTAACTACTTTCAAAGTACGATGGTAACTCAGGCAGACCGTGGACATTTTCATTATAAATGGGAGAAGAAATTGAAGGAAAAGAAAGTAGGCACCAAGCACGCAGATACTCAGCAGCACAATTTACATTTGTTTTCAAGGCCTGAAAATATTTCTCAATTCTCTGAGGCCATCTAGACACTGGGTCTGCCTGCTGGTCATACTCCCTGTGCTCAGCAGGGAGGCCTCGTGTCCTCAGGTTTCAGCTCTGCCTTCGTGCCCACTGGGACAACAGTGCTGCTCCCTCACCTTGGGGCAGTCCCATTCCCCTCGTGCAGCTGCGTAGTTACCCTGCCCACTTGAGCATAACAGTCTCATACTCTGGGATTAAGCTGGCAAAGATCATTTCTTCTGCTTTTTTGTATTTAATTTTTCTACTTTTCCTAGCTTAAGATAGAAACTTGGATTATTGGGTTATGTTAAAAGTTGTTAAGTGCCGTTGAGTCGTAGACAAGTCATAGCAACCCTATGAATGAAAGACCTGAACACTATATTGTCGCAGTTGTTTTGTTTTCTATCATTGAGTTCCCCTCAACTCATGGTGACCCTATGTAGTATGGATCAGATCACAACCCTAAGATCAAGCTTTCAGCAGCCCCCCACCATAAGGGAGACAGTCTTTTTACAGTTGGCGTTCAAGAAATAAAGTACCTAGAGTAGGATCTGATCCCATGGTAGCAAACAACTGTGACAATATAGTACTGCCACCCACGATGAAGGTGGCACAGGACTAGGCCGCTTATACACATACATGCTTATGTGGGGCCCTCCCTTTTAGTTTTTCCTTTCTGGGATCCTCACCACATATTCCTGTAGTTGTGTTGGTGCTAAACTCTGCATTCAGGTTCTTGAAGCTACAGAGACTAACAACTTTCAGAATTTTGATCACCCTGCCCTACATGGCAGACTGGCCCCTCTCAGGGTATCATATCCAGAAAAAGATATCAGTTAAAAAACACCTCTTCCATGTTATGTCCTCCAGTATTGTCTCTTCTCAAGAATCCACTATTACTCATTTTCTATTGTCTTTCAAACCCAGATTGTTGATTTTTAAAATTTATAATAAAAGGGTGAAAATATAAATTTCTCCAATAGCCTACAGATTTTCCTATTATCAGTGAAGTAACTTCTAATTTTCCTGTAATTTCTACTTTGACTCCTGAGTTAATGAATTATTTAGTGTTGTTCAATTTCCAAGAATTTGGAGATTTTCCACACAGCTCATTGATAGTAATTTCACACTTAATTCAAATGTGAAGAAATCATAAGTTAACATCTGGCACATGATAGACTTTGGTGAATGCTCCATGTGTACCTAAAATCAGTTCTGACACACAGAGAGACCTTATATGACAAAGTAGAACTTAACCATAGGATTTTCAAGGTTGTATGTTGCCTTAAAGAAGAACAGTGTTTTGAATTGTTGACCTTTTGGTTAGAATCTGAGTGCTTTACCACTGCACCACCAGAACTCATGTCTAAAGCAAATAGATCCGTATACTGAGGATTCTTTAAGTTAGTAGAGAGAGGAAGATCTTACATGAGAGGGATGGATACAGTGACTTAAACAGTGGGCTCACATCCAGCAGACTGTGAGGAAAGCTGGACTGGGCGAAGTGTCATTCTGTTGAATCTAGTGTGACTGTGGTTCATGGTCAGCTCAACAGCACCTAACAACAACATATCCTTGTCATAGGTGAGAAGAGCGTGACAAGGCCGCATGCTTTATATTTAATGAAGTATATTCATAACCTGTTATTATGAGTGAGCACTTTTGACATCTGTTTTTTCTTTCTGCATTTAGATGAGTTTGGTGCTCTGGAAAGTGTGAAAGCTGCTAGTGAACTCTATTCTCCTTTATCAGGAGAAGTGACAGAGGTTAATGAAGCTCTTTCTGAAAACCCAGGACTTGTTAATAAGTCTTGTTATGAAGATGGTAAGTTGTTGCCAGAAAAGTTCCAGAGAATTATTGCTGTAGTTAAGAGTTAACATGTAATCTAGACTTTAAGTAAGCTTACCTGATTCTGACTTCACTTTTCTTTTTTCCACTTCTTGGTATTGGGATGTTCTCCTTTAAAAAGGAAAACACAAATAAGCTGGATTCATAGGTGGTGTTCAAAATAAAGCACTGTGAGTGTTGCATGGTTCTTAGCAATGTAACAGTGGACTCCTGAATTACTACAGTGTGTATCTTTTTGGATTTAAATCATGTACTCATGCCAATGTGGTGTGAATGGTGATAGCTTAATACCTCACTGCATTAATTTTCACATTTTTAACTTGATAATAATTCAATAAAATAGTCCAGTAGCAGTGTCACTAGATAATGGATAAAGAACCTGAGACCTGAGTCACCGACGAGGATCACACAGTCAATAAAGAGCAAAGCACAGCTAAGCAGTAGTTCTGTTACCTGCCATTCATCCCTTCATATTCCTGAGTACGGCTTCTTAGTGCCTTAAGAGTTACCATGTGGCTGTTCTTTTGTTAAAGGAAAAATATGCCTTGCCTTGTATTTTTGGATCCCTTAAGATTTTAAAATGCTACTTGTTTATTCTTTTTTCTAGCCCAAGAATTCTCAATCCATTATGATAGAGTGTGCTCTAGGGGTAATTATTTTTTAAACAAATTTTTTTTCCCCATTGCACATTTTCTTCTGTAATTCTTCTTGACTGTTATAGTGAACTGTTCATTTAATTCGTAAGGCTAAAGTGTAAAAGCTCTTTGAACAAATTATGGTCATGATCTATTCTATTGCCTGAGGAAAACTAGATTAATTTTTAGGCACTCAAGATATTTTACATTTTTAATGAACTTGAGTTTTATTCTTTAGACAATTTGGAATGCAAGATGCAGTGCTTTTTTGTATTGTTGCAGGTTGGCTGATCAAGATGACACTGAGTAATCCTTCAGAACTTGATGAACTAATGAGTGAAGAAGCTTATGAAAAATACATAAAATCCATTGAAGAGTGAAAACAAAACCACTAAAAGTAGTCGTCTAAAACAACTTACTCCAGCATTGCTGTCCTAAATTAGTAGGGGTTGAATTAAAGCAGCTTTTAGCAAAACATAGTGGAAAACAGAAATGACATGTTGCTGGAAGAAAGTAACTTTATAATGAGTAAAAATAAACCCAATATACACTTTTCTTCACATTACCCTGTGATTTTATAGTTATAATATCCAGAATTTATTCATTTACGTGTGGTAAGAATAGTTCTACATCTTATGGGTTCAAGGATAACAATGATATCTTAAGTCTGATATCATTAGTACCTACTGCTGACATCTGTATCTACGTGTGGGTCAGAATACTTAGCAAGCTTTCCACTAGAAATGATAAGTTTTTGTTAGCTGTCCACTGTCAGCTAAAGAACAATACTGTCTTAATTTTGCCATATACTGCCTTTGCTGGTGCTATTTTTTTACAATGAAGCAACAGCCTTGCAGCAAAATAAACAATTTAATAAAACATTCAACATTTTTTTTTGGAATTCAAACTGCTTTATATAAAGTCCCTTGTAAACAAAAACAGAATAAAAAGAAATAAAAAAAATAAAGGAATTGGATTCAAAAATAAAAAGAATTCAGAAAAAAAGGAAAGGGAATAAAAGAAAGTAACCGAAGACCATTTATTGCTTCTCTTCCGCCTTCTCGGCCTCCTCGCCTTCAGAAACATTCAACATTTAATCATGCTTTGTGTTGAATGAATAATTCTCAGTGAATACATTAGTATTTCTGGAAGTGCTACTTATAGAGTCCTGTTTTAAAAGGGAATTTATGCTCTATCAATGAAAGGTGCTAAGAAAGTACTTTAGTACAAACAGATTTTCTTAAACTAAGTTCTATGTGCTTAATATCTTTAAGTACATAGTTTATTCTTCTTTTAGAAGTATTTTCTGTCATGCAGGGCTCAAAACAAACATGTTGTCATAAAGTGTGAACCACTGTGTCCATAAGGCTATAAACTGCGCAGGAAGTTGGCCACCTCTTTGCTGTGGAGCCGCTGGTGGATGTGAACAGAGAGAGAAGTGTGGCATTTGGGTTAGCAACACATCTCCCCTAAGGACAGGGCATCAGGCCTCTCTCTCTTTCTTATGCTTAAGCTACAAGAAGAAATAGAACAAGGAAGACTAGACGTTTGATGCATAGCAAATAGTATATGCATAACTTCACAAGTTAAACCATGTAAAGTTTGCACGTCAGTCAGTAATAAATACTATTCTGTTGTTTAATTATAAAGATTAAAATATAGGATATGGTATTACAGCTCAGGTGGCCTAGTGGTAAAGGGTTGCATTGCCAAACCAAAGCCATGCAGTTCGGGTCCACCAGCTGCTCTGAGGGAGAAAGATGGTTTATTTCCCAGGCAGTATTTATAGGCTGTGAAAACCTGCTGGATGGTCAGCTGTGGCTCAGTTCCAACTTAATGTTTGACACATAACAGCAAAGGGAACTCCAGTAGCATAGTAAGGTAAAGTGGTTAGCTATTAACTGAAAGGTTGGTGGTTTGGATCTACCAGTACTACAATGGGCAAAGAAGAGGGAGCCTCCTAGATTTATAGGCTCAGAAACCTGGTGGAGGGTTACCATGAATCAGAACTGGCTTGGAGGCAGTGGATTTGCTTTTTTTAGAACAGTAACAGCTCTAACGGAGCCTTGTGGCACAAAGGTTAAAGTGCTCAGGTGGCAACTGATAGGGGGTTTGTACTGCATTCAGCTGCACGCCACGAGAAAAGGCCTGGCAATCTGCCCTGTAGACTGCAGTCCTGGGAACCCTATGGCGCAACTAGGGTGTGAGCCAGAGTCAACTCACTGGCACATAGAGTAAAGCATGATAGCATCCACCTCTGTGGCACAGTTTGTGCTTATTTCCGAACTAAAACTGATGGTTCAAACCCCAAAAGGACAGACTGGTGAGCTGCTTCCATAGATTCATCATCTCATTGCTGTAGGCTGAAAATTACAAGGGAGAAGCCTGCCCATTCTTTTCCTTAGAGTGGCTGGTGGATTTGAACTGCCAGAGAGGTGTTGCCTTTGGATTAGAAGTACACTTCCCTACGACTAGCTTAGTGGAAAGGAATTTCACTGCCAGCATAAAGGCAAGCAGTTCAAATCCACCAGCTGCTCCATGAGAGGCGGGGCAGCCTTGTTTTATGTAATTTGCTGCCTCTGAAAATCTGCTCGAGGGTCAGCTATGAGTTGCTTCTGACTTGACTACGTAACAACAACATAGCACCAGTTCCACAGCCAACAAACTCTTACGTAGCAGTTTTACTCTGACATGTGGGAAGACGATGAGTCAGAATCGACTAGAGGACAAGAAGTTTGGTTTTAATACAGGCCCTCAAGTGCAATCACTACTCTTCTGTCAAGAGGCTTGTGTGAGCTTGTGCTGCTGGAGAGGCTTTAGTTACACCTGCAGACTAAGAGTGGGAAGGAAGTTTTGGTGATGTGCTGAAAAATGAGCCAATGAAAACCTTACGGGGGTCAACTAAATGGTGAACAGCAACAATATAGCACTACAACCTATTATGAAGGTGGTACAGGACCACCCATTTCATTGTGTTAAGCCATGGCTCAAAACCAGTTTGATAATTTGTCAGCAATTATGATAGCAAATTGTTGCTATATGCCATTGAGTCAACTACTACCATTCATAGTGACCCTATGAACAAAAGCCCTGAACCCTGCCCCGTTATCCTGTCTCTGGCACACCTACACCCATTACCTCAGTTACTGTGTCAATCCATCTCATTCAGGGCCTTCCTTTGCTGTGCTAACCACCCTTCCAAGTATGCCATCCTTCTCCAAAGACTCCCTCCTGGCACCAAAGTATGTCAGATGGAGCTTTAGAATTCTTGGCTCCAAGGAGCCACTTGGTTTCATCCTCTCCAACACAGACTGTTCTCTTAGCAGTCCATCTTCTCTAGCACAACTCAAAGGCACCAATTCTCTGTCAACATGGCACACTATTTAAGCCAGCCATGACATGTTGATATTCTAAAAGAGCTACACTTGCCCTTTAATACCCACTCTTCTGAGGCTTTCAAAAGGGTAGACATTGTAACTACTTTTTCAATACTAGAATTTAGGGTCAATTCCTCTATCATTTCTCTCCTAGGATGGCTAAAGAAATAAGGCTTTGAAGAGCTCTCCAAATTAACTAAATCAGTAGGGAATTTAATTCCTCTTACATGTTCCTTTTGAATGGTTTTAGCTTTATTATAGCAGCCTAGAGAATGCTTCCTAGTAACGGAACCTCAAATGGAGTGGGTTGTCCTGGAAGTGTTAAATGTTTCCCTGTGGCTGTTTAATGTTGACAGAATTAGATGTTAGGAAGCCACTAGAGGGCTCTGCACAGGCATACTTGTATTCCCAACTCCACCAAATCTGGATTTGCAAATTAGATGGCATCTCAGAAACAAACTAGTTCAACTTGACAAAGAGGAAAATGGAAAACCAAGGAGGTCGAGTGATTTGCTTAACTGCCTGGGATGGAGGTGAAGTGGGAAGGTAAGTTATAGGCTAGAAAGACCCGTGTTATTGGCTCTCCTGCTTCACTTGTGCAGTTATTTTGGTCTTGGCATCTGTGGAGCCACTAAAAGTGCTGCTTTTCTCATATTTAGTATTGTATATTAATTACAATCAGTTCTGAGTTTGAGTTCTGTTTAAGATGCTGAAGAGTGAGTTTCAGAGACTCTTCTAACATCCTTTGTAGTCTTTCCTTTCTTGTCTTTTAAGTGACCTTTTGCCTTCTTCACGGATGGTATCCTATAGCTGATGTGGTCTTTAGTCATTAGTGTGCAATGCATACAATTTTTTCTTGAGACTTTTAAATTCAGGTGGGATAAACTCAAGATATGTTTTGGCTCTTGTGCACTTAAGTTTATTCAGTTTTAATTTGAACTAACATGAGTGATTACTGATATGACCTTGTATGTCATGTTTCCACAGATACAGTCAATCTGATTCTCCTATATTCCATCAGGTGTGGTTCATGTGCACAGTCACCCTTTACATTTGTTGTTGGGCTTTTTTTTTTAAGTATTTGCAATGACTGAGTCATTAATTGTACAAAATTCTACTGTGACCTCTAGTCTCATTTGTCACCAAGGACTTATTTTTCAATCCTTTGTTTCAAACATTTTATTTTAAAATTACCTTTTGTGTGTGTGCCATCAAATCCTATCTGCCGGGCACAGGAGATTGCCCCTCCTTCCCCAGCAAGGCATCTGGTGGATTTGAACTATGCACCTTGGGGATTGCAATGCAGTTTCTTGCCACTAGGCCACCAGAGCACCCTTCGTTTCCAACTTTTGCATCCCTATCACTAATTATATTATTCATGCATCTTGACTGCATATTCAATCAATTTCAGACTGCAAAGTCAGTAAAAACCTTCAATTACATCATCTTTGGCTCTACATTTGAATAGTAATTGCATTAACAGGTCTTCCTGGTATGTGTATTAATCCTACCACTAACAGCACTGTACTTCAGGAAAGAATTTGAAACAAGTCTTTCTACTGATTCATTGTGATACCAGTGCACCTTGTCATTCCTGGTATAGTAGAGAATATGCTTCCCTGAGTCAAAATGGTTAATACCAATCGGTCTCAGCTCATTAATGTCTAGGATCTCAATTTTTATGAGTTCCTTTTCAATAACTTTTAGTGTTCCTAGACTCAAACGTCATACATTCAAGGTTCCAGTAATTAATGGTTGTTTGCAGCAGCCTCTCTTCATTTTTGAGTCTTGCCCCACCAGCAAATGAAGGTTCTTCACTGGATGAAAGCTTTGCTCCACTCACATCATTACTTGGAGAAGGCAGCTCTTCTTCTGGTGTATACTAAGTGGCCTCCAACCAGAAAGTCTCCTTTTCAAGCACAATCTCCAACAATGTTCTTTTATAATTCAAAGGGTTTTCACAGGCTTGTTCTTTCTGAAGTGAATGGCCAATACTGGTTCTT